ATCCATTACTTTTAATAGCTACATTAAATGTACCATACTTTTTTCAATGACTGCTTGAATGAAGAATATTCTCTATCTCTTTGTTTTTTAAGATTTTATTTATTTATTTTTAGAGAGGGGAAGGGAGGGAGAAAGAGAGAGAGAGAAACATCACTGTGCGGTTACTGGGGGCCATGGCCTGCAACCCAGGCATGTGCCCTGACTGGGAATCAAACCTGTGATACTTTGGTTTGTAGGTCCATGCTCAGTCCACTGAGCCATACCAGCCAGGGCTCACATGAAACTTCTGGATGAGTTTTTACCACTTCTCTCCAAACTTCCACTCCAATTCCTAGATTTTGCTTAGATAATTTGGTACTCTTTGTTTCAGGCTATAATTGGAATTTCCTTTGCAGTATGTTTCCTCCATCTCAATAATAATTTTTTTACCCCTTACATTACACAGTTTCAGATAGTTTATTAATATCCTAATATCCAATGGATATATAGTATATATTTCCAAGTAATCTATCAGTATCAAATGAATATCCAATTGATATTGATAGACTACATATATATAGTATATGTGTATTTATGTGTGTGACTAATTTTCTTTGTTACCTTATGTATTTTATTTATTATCTGTAAAAATTTTTTTAATTTCTTTATTTTTAGAGAAAGGAGAAGGGTGGGAGAAAGAGAGAAAGAGAAACATCAATGTGAGAGAGAAATGTTGATTGGCTGCCTCTGGTATGCACCCTACTGGGGACCAAATGCACAACCTAGGCATGTGCTCTGACAGGGAGTTGAACTGGCAACCTGTCCCTTTGCAGGACGACGCCCAACCAACTGAGCCACACCAGTCAGGGCTGGGTTTTTTTATTTTTTTATTTTATACACTTTAAAACATTCAGAGAAGGGGTTTATAGCATGCACACAAAAAGACTAAGAACTCCTACCCTAGATAATCCCAGCTGCCCCTACAACGTTCATTACCATTTCTATTCCAATGACTTTCCTAATTTTGTTCTCCAATCAGACTTCTCCTGAATTCCAGGTCCACATATTTATACACGCACACACCTCCCATTTGAGAACCCCAAGTGATACTTTAAAGGAACCCCCAACTCAACATGTCCAAAACCATGCTCATAAATTCCTCCCCCGCCTGGTCTTTGTCTGATGAAAACTTTTCAGAAAGTGGCTCTGAAAAAGCCAGAAGCCAAGGAGTCACCCTTGAGTCTTTCACCTCTCTCACTCCCGTACTTAACCCTCACCAATGTCTGTTACTTCATCTTCCAAACTGCTCTCGTCAGGGCACTTCCCCCATAGCTTGGAGATCACTGGTGACTCGACCTGTTTTAGTGGAATGGGAGGGGTAGAAATCAGATGGGTGTGGTTTGGTAGGTGGCGGGCAGGAAGTAGGCAAAAGGAGATAGGAAATGTAGACAACTCCTTTGGAAACTTTAGGCAAAGAATTCTGGAAGATTTCGTAAGATGGTACCCTTCTTTCCTTTCATTCCCAGCCTCATGTTTAGCCCATTGATGGCCATGGGTCAGACAACTGCTGGCCCCAGTAAATAGACAGAACCTCAGACCTATTGCTGAGCTTTCCCAGGGTGAACTATCATAAAAACACCCACAGATGGTGATATGAAAGAATCTGTGTATGCCAGGAAGTAGGAGGTTCCTTGTAATATAAAACTAATTCTACAATTCGTGCATCTGCACAGACAATAATCTTTTTACTGATCTCCCCCATCTATCCCTGCTTTTTCAACCAGTTCTCTACGCAGCAGCCAGGAATCTTTTCAAATGTAAATCTGATCATTTTAATTAAGCTCTTTCGTTTCCACCTTAACTCCTGAAGTGGCTTCCCACTGCTCTTAACATAAAGGTAAAAAAACCTTTTGGCAGCCTACATGGTTTTAAATTATTAGGCTCCTGCCTTTCTCATCAGTTTTTTCTCCCCTGCCTCTGCATTCATGCTCTGTACCACAGCGACTTTAGACTTCTTTTGATTCTTTAAACACATTAAGGTCTCTTCTGTCTCTGGCTTTGGGTGTGCTCTCCCGTCTGCTTGGGATGTCCTCACCCTCTCTTTTCTTATTTAGTTAACTCAGATGTGACTTCTTCAGGGAAGTCTTCATTGCTAAGTCAAGACCTCTGTTTTGACTTCCTTGTTTTTCCCTTTAGACTACTTGTCACAGTTTATAACTGTATATTAGCTGTTGTGATTATTTGATAAATGTCTGTCACCTCTAACAGACTGGAAGCCCTGGCAGGGCAGGAACAACGTCTCTTTTCATATCCTAGTATCCTCAACCATGATAGTCTAGTGCCTGGCACATGAAAGGTACTTAATAACGTGTGTATGTGTACACATGTATATGACTGGCAAAGTGTCTGGACATGCAGAGGAAAGCAGACCTGGACTGTAGTGACTTCATAAGGAGACACCACAGTGAGTGGTCGTCAGAGCAGCCCATCTGCTTCCCTCAAGGGCATCTCTCTGGTTGGGCTGCTGTCAACTGCAACTTATAATAGGATTTACCACCCACTTGTTTGTTTTCTGAATCATCTGAATCCACCCTCATTCAGTAATGCGGACTATCAGCTTTCAGGGACAGAGAGAACAACCTTGAACTAATTACCATTTATTCCTGCTACCAATATTTATTCTGTGCCTACCCCTACTGCATTCAAATACTGTTCAGAGGATGGGGAACCACAAATGAATGAGGCCTGATTATTATTTTCAAGGAATTTCTAATTTAGAAGCACAGTCAGATTTGTAAACAAATTACAACTTCCTGTTTTAAAACACTAATATTATAAGGCATACTCAAACTTTTAAATGACCACAAAGAAGAGAATAACCATCAAAGCACTTAGTAACACCCTAGCGAAAAGTGTTATTAGAATGATGACCCAAGGGACATACTTTTAAAACCTTCTAACTTTGAAACAGTTTACATCACAAGAAAACAATTTCCTTAGACTGCATGAGACATGCCCCTTAAAAAAAAAAATAACCATCAATCCTAGTTCTGTAGATCAGTTGGTTAGACCATTGTCCCGATACACCAAGGTTGTTGGTTTGATCCCTGATCAGGACATATACTAGAAGCAACCAATAAATGCATGAATAAGTGGGACAACAAATTGATGTTCCTCTCTCTTTCCTCCCCCCCAAAATCAATAAATTAAAATTTTTTAAATGATTTATTAAAAATAACCATAACTAGGTTGCTATTTATATCCCTGGTTTTTATTAAACTAAAATAAATAGCTATATGAATTTTGCTTTTGCATTTCTTGTCCAAATCTTCTTGCCCTGGCTCTTGTGGCTCAGTGGATTGAGTGCTGGCCTGTGAATCAAGGGTCACTAGTTCAATTCCCAGTCAGGGCACCTGGGTTGCAGGCCAGGTTCCCAGTAGGGGGCATGTGAAAGGCAACCACACATTGATGTTTCTTTCCCTGTCTTTCTCTTTCCCGTCCCCTCTCTCTAAAAATATATATCTTTTAAAAAAATCTTCTTGATTGCTTTACTACCTCATCCACCAGTTCCTAATAAAGTTATATGAGAAACTACCTTTAGAAGTTAGTGCTACAGAAAAAAAAGGTCTGTCTCCTCTGATGAATTGATTCTTCTCAGATGACAAGATCTACTCAATATGTACTGTTTTTGTTTTTGCCCTGGCAACCAGGAAGCTCAGAACTAAATTTCAAATTCAGTCATGTTTAATTATTAGGATGATTATGATCTTTTTCTTTGGCCATAATGTTCCATTTCTAGTTTTCTAGTCGATTGTACCTCTTCTTTATTATGGAAAAAAGATAGGATAGAATAAATTTAACGTCTGGTATGCACAGTCATTTTAGAATTATTTCTTATTTGTCAAACATAAATGCCAAAAAAAAAAAAAGAATGACCTATGTTTGGACCTTTATAAAATTTGGAGAAACTGGGGAGGACCCAGAGTAAAGCAACAGAAAAGGACAAAGAATGGAATGAGGTACAATACCATGCCCATATTCTTCAACTCAAATATCGGGGCATATTGATCAGGCATATCACCTGTTACAGGAAAAGTATCTGAAATTTAGATTCTTCTGGAAACTCCCAGAGATACGTCAAAGCAGACGGATCCCAGGAGTCATTGTCAATATTTAATATATATGAGTAGTTTTAGAAAGGTTTTAACCTTTTTTTGTATCACGGATTCCTTGGACCTGTTCCCCGGTAATATACAGGCACATATCAGTTTCTAAAAGTAGAACCGTCCTGTCACCGATTAATTTTTTCAAAATATCAAAAGCACCTGAACTGTCAAGTCAGCTGGGGAGACTGGCAAATCAGCTATCAGCTGAAGTTCTTAACAGTCTCACATCATTCTTAAATCATTTAAACCAGTTAGTTGTTTTCTGTTTGTTTTTAACTTTTGTGAGGAACGGACCCCTTTGAAGAGCTGAGTATGTCTTCTCTCCTAAAATATATCCACGCCCCCCCTCCACAATTTTGCATTTCCATGGGATTGACAGACTTCCTTAAGTCCATTCTCAAATCTTACGTTATGTTTAAATTGAGACTTCCTGAAGTCAGGGAAATGCCCTTGAGGACCTTTCAGAATCACCCTCTCTTATCACGGGGACTAGAATTAGACAGAAGGAGGTTAAGGGAAGCGAAGACGGCGACTCTCAGCCTCTCAACAAGCCCCTCCGAGAACACTCTTCCAAGCTCTCCCCTCCCCCACGCCCCGGCCGCGCAGGTGCGAAAACCTAAGGGGCCACCCGCGAGCGATGGGAAGGGGTGGGGGGAATGGAACCCTGGGAGGGGCGGAGGCGGGGGCCCACCCTTGGTTGCTTGGTGACCAAATTCTCCGCCTAGGCCATTCCATTTCCTCATTAGGGGGCACCGCGGGCCGGACTGTCGCTGATAGACCGCAAAGAGCGGCCTTCTTCCGGCTTCTCCCCCTCGACGGACGGTGACCAGGTCCGTGACGTCACAGGAGGCGGGGCCAGAGCCGCTGCCGGGTGCTGGAGGCGCCATTGGAGCCGGCTTGGCTTGAGAGCTCCGCTGAGGAGCAGGAGGTTGGACGGCAGCTTCCACCGCGTCCGCTCCTGGTCCCTGGCCGGTCAGCGGCATGGCGTGTGGGGCGACATTGAAGCGGCCCATGGAGTTCGAGGCAGCGCTGCTAAGCCCGGGTTCCCCGAAGCGGCGGCGCTGCGCCCCTCTGCCCGGCCCCACTCCGGGCCTCAGGCCCCCGGACGTCGAGCCGCCGCAGTTTCAGATGCAGACCCCACCGCCGACTCTACAGCAGCCGGTACCGCCTGGCAGCGAGCGGCGCCTTCCAACTCCGGGTAACCGACGCTGCGGGCTTGGCAGGAAGCCAGGCCCTGGCATTTGGGGGTGGGGTGGGAATGGGGGGAAGGGTTATGGACGCTAGGCTCATTTGCCCGCGGACCCCTTCTTTGCCCTGCGAAAAGGGAACTGGAGCGCTGCCGGGCCTGGTCGCTTCCGGGGATGGGAAACATCCGGGAGAGGTAGTGGGGTCACAGTATCGGTTTTCGGTTTTCCTGGAGCTGGCGAACCTGGAGGGATGGGCAGCAAGAAGAAAATGGGGATATCTTTGGCTGGTCCGGGCCCTCACCGTCCCCCCAGCCCCTCCTGCCTCCGCTGCTTGGGCCTGCACTGAGCCGCCCTGTAGATCGGTGGGCCCTGGGAAATTGGATTCTACTCACGAACCCAGCCTTGAGGGTGGGGGTTGGGGACTGGTTACTGGGAAGGGGCCTGAGTGTGTGCTGTTCCGCACTGTACTGTAGCTTGTAGGGAGACCTGATTTACAGAAGCCTTGAGGGACCAGAGGTCGCCGCAGAAGTCATGGAATCCGATTTCAACCTGACTAATTCTAAGGGATTGGCCATGTTCTTTTATTATATGGCTATTGTCTTGTACCATATATGGCTTGAAATCGGTAGGCCGTTAGCTAGAATTTGAGAATCTTTAAACATACAGAGGTTCCGAAAGCCAGGACTTCAGGTATCCGTAGCAGACAGACTCGCCTTCAATAAGGACATTGGTCAAGGAAGGGGAGAGCTGGTGGGACAATAAAGTTAAAAAAAGCACACAAAACCCTAACCATTGTGTGGGAGTTGAGGGAAAAGTGCATCAGAATTAATATTTAGCAGTTTTAAAAGGTTCCCGGAAATAGGGGGAGTCTCAAAACTGGACTTTGGCAAGTCATTTCTTTGTGGTTTTTTCCTTCTTTTCAAGCATAAGCGAAACTTTGGAATTGCCTTAAAATCATTGTTTCTTTATCCCTTTTCAGTTACCAATGTCTTTAGGCTTTATTTTCTTCTTTGCAAATCCACCATACAGATTTCAGGCCCTCATCCTTTGGCACTGGTGTTGGTGTAGTTGCCAGCCAAGCTTTCCTAGACTCATATTCATCTCTCTATGCTAGCATTTAAAGGACTTACCAGCTATAACCGTATCTCACCTAGTCTTTCATACATTTTCTTACCAACCTATGCCTTTGCTCCTTTTCCTCAGGCCCACTGGCTGTGTCTGTATTCTTGCCTTCCAACATGATGCTTTCCCCTCCTATTTGCTAATCCAAATGCAGTCAGTCTCCCATCCATTACCTGACTAACCCTGCCCTTGAGGAACTCTGTTCGACTTTAAATTCCCTGACCACTTAATGTTGCTCTGAGTGAGAATGTTTGCAAAAGTTCTTTGTGAAGAGCCCTTCAAGGGCAGAGGGTGTAGGTGCCCACTTAAAGTGATTTTTTTTTTCCCCTCTGCTCCTACAGCTATGCAGGGATAGTCACATAATCTTTCTGGGTCTGTTTTCTTCAGCAAAATAGAATTAATACTTGCTCTATCTATCTTGATGGGTATTAAGTAAATGCATTGTTTCTTCCAGTAATATTCTCTAGACTAATTTTATTGTAGTTCATAATACAGCAAACGCATAATAAGTGATTGCTGAATGTATTTGGAAGCCTGAATATGGCACAGTGCCATAATGGGAGCCACTGTTGTTGTTTTTTATCTTAAAATTTATTCTTTGCATAAATCATGCAAACTAGCATCTTGGTCATTTTTGGTGAAATTATTTTGTGTAAATGTTCATTTGTAAAGATTGATGTTTGTTATGTTCCTTAATGCTTACTGGAATATGGTTCTGTCATGAAAGAAACAAAGTATGAATGATTCATTATTTAATGCTTTGGTTTATGTGAAAGATGCCTTCTGGATTAAAAAGGAAGAATGAGGGAGGAAATATTAGTTGTTACACAAGTAGAAAGAATAAGGCCAACTAATAGAAAAGTGCATATAAAAATCAGTGACTTCACTCTGTAACATCCTGGTTATCTCAAGGGTTGTAAAGCTCTCTCAGAAATGGTCAGAAAATGTGTTTTTACTTCACTTTAAAAAAAGATAATGTCAGAGCACTTTTTGTAGAAAAGGCCTATAAAATTAAGTCTTTTATTGCTTAAATGAGTGAGGTAGATGGATGCCAGGGATGAAAAGGGGTTACTGACCTCAGGGAGATGTTTGTAAACAACGAGTGAGTCTAGATGCAAAGCAATGAACTGATCATGACTTCATCAGAATGAGGTATTATTTTAGCTGGGTCTTAAATGTTGGAAAGAGAGACACAGCCCCATTTTAAGCAAAGCAAAATTGCTTGAGTGAAAGAAAACCCACACATTAAGGACAGGATTGTTTGATGCAACTGGGTTGTAGTGGGAGCTGGAACTGGAAAAATAATGGACTTGCCTGATAAAACCTAGAAGCACAACCTCAAATAATGGGAGGCAAAGATTAAAATTGTCCACCGTTAAAAAAAAATTTGCATTTTCTTTTTTAAAAATGCCTTTGTCTGTTTTATGTGGCTTTCGTGAGAAGAAAAACACATCTGCTTCCTTATTTTTCTCCTGTGTATACCATGTTTAGATTCTTGGACTTGCTAGTCCTTGTACCATCCTCAAAGTTACACCTTTCTTTCCATTTCTTCACTTTGCCATACAGGAGGCACTTAGAGGTTTATCAAAGACCTGTTCTCATGAGCAATGTTCTCATACTTGTTCTTTCTTGTTTCAAGTTTTTTCAATTGCTTACAACCTTATATTGCATCTGGCCAACTGGGTGCTTGGAGAATATATTTTAAAGATGAAACAAAGGTTTCATGAATTCAGGGATCTAAAATACGAAGTTCATAGCATTCTTAAAAGAAAACTTTGCCAAATACTACATTGTTCCAGTGTTTAGGTTGAGTGTTACAGAATTTAGCTATGTGTGGAGCTGCTTTTGAGTATATGTTAGTTCCTGGACTGTACCATCACTTGTTATGGCTTTATTTATTTTTTAAGATATTATTTATTTATTTTTAGAGAGGGAAGGGGGGGAGAGAGAGAGAGAGAAACATCAATGTGTAGTTGCTGGGGGTTATGGCCTGCAACCCAGGCATGTACACTGGCTGGGAATCGAACCTGCGACACTTTGGTTTGCAGCCCACGCTCAATCCACTGACCTACGCCAGCCAGGGCACTTGCTTTATTTACTTATTTATTTATTTACTTACTTATTTATTTAAAAAGATTTTTTTTATTTTTTAGAGAGAGAGGACGGGAGAAACATCGATCACTTGCCTATTGCACCCCCCTGACTGGGGACCTGGCCCGCAGACCAGGCATTGCCCTGATTGGGAATCGAACCAGCAACCTTTTGGTTTGCAGGCAGGCACTCAATCCATACCAGCCAGGCCTGTTACAGTATTATTTAATATCTTTGATTCTGGTTCTCACAACTTATTGGGCAGGCATTTAACATTTATATTAAAGAACTAGGCTAAAGATCCTGCATGACTTCCCAAGGTCATAGTCACGTAGCTAGGAAGAAGCAAAATGGCATTGTTAACACCACCACCCCCTATTAAAAAAATACAGTTATAGCAAAGTGTACATTGGAATGTGAGTTGGGGGGGGTGACATAATTTTCTGGGTTTTATTTTTGATAAGGAGACTTGATTATCTGGAAAGTGAATGTATATCCTACCACAGAAACAAAAAAAAAAAAAACAACGTGAAAACCACATCCTTCCATGTTGTCTCTAGGAATGTATTTCAAGGTGGTTAGTGGCTTGTGTGTCCTGGACTCCTTTTAATAGTGTCAAATTCAGTTTATTATTACCTCAACTCAGAATAGCAATCTGAACCCTACCAAATACTGCCTCTTATTGAATCAGAAAGTTCTTTTCTATGTCCTGTTTATGAATTCCAAGCAATAAATTTCATGTCTTCCCCTGGCTGTGGAAATAATGGTTTTTGCCTTCCTCTTCCCTAAAGATCTTGAGTCCCAAACAGGTGGTAAGAGACCCCTAGTACCCTAGTTTGTGAAATTACAATTTAAAGAAGATTTTTTAAAAAGTAACTATTAGGTGAAGGATTTTTTCCCCTTTGCGTTGTACTAATTAATCCTATAGCAAGCAGCAGGTCTGGTCTTTATTGTCATAGGAAAGCAAAGGGAATTTCGTCTGAGTGGCTTATGTCAAAATAGGTGTTATTCTGCATGTTGAAATGATGATAAGAGGGCACACTTTGAGAGTTATAGGAGGAATGCTTTATTCAGTATAAATATTTTTCTTGTTAATATTTATAACATGGGGGGGCAGGAAATTTGAAGAAATCAAAGTGAATGCTTAAGTGTGTTTCTTTTTTATTTAGAGCAAATTTTTCAGAACATAAAACAAGAATATAGTCGTTATCAGAGGTGGAGACATTTAGAAGTTGTTCTTAATCAAAATGAACCTTGTACTTCAGAAAATCAGCCTCACTCCTCAGCACTCACAGCACCTAGTTCTCCAGGTAAGTGTGCTTTAATTTGCACAATACATTTAAGAGTTTGTAAATGGTGCTTAAAATAAGTTTCCTAATTTAGAATCAATTTCATCTGAAGTAATAAAAGTGGTAAAGTATATGTGTTATAAATACTATTAAAACGACAGAATCATGAAATCGGTGGAGACCTTTGATTTGATTGGCTTTCATCCACCCAACAATGCAGTGGTGCCCTCTATAACTACAAAGTCTGATACCATAGCCACTAGCCACATATGGCTGTTTAATTAATTAAATTGTAATAAAATTTTAACATTTAGTTTCCCAGATGCATGTAGTAACCACATTTAATGTGCTTAGTAGCCACATAGAACAACTATAGGACATTTTTATCCTTGCAGAAAGTTGTGTGACAGCATTGCTCTGTAATATTGACAGGTGATTAGGGAGGATGTGCTCAAATAGAATCTAAGGGTTGAAGTGAATCTTCCTGATCACATAGTTCAGCCACCAGCCTTGCCTGCCATTTCCCTGCAGTCGGTAGGCCAGTGCATAAACATCTCCAGTGCTGGCAGATTCTGTCCTTCAACAGTAGTTTATTTCCTCACAAAACATTCTACTTCTTAATAGTTCTGAGAATCAAAGTTACCTTGATGAAAAATTGGCTCTTTATAGAACACAAATTGTTGTGGGCCAGGAGATGGGGTGGGAGTGAGGGCGGGGGGGGGCGGGGTGCAGGACTCTTAATGAGTAAGAGGTGTTACTTCAGAGTAGTATAAATATTTTGAGACTCAGTCGAGATACTGCTACTATAGTAAATGCCACTGGATTGTTCACTTTATGTCAGTTTCACCTCACATAATTTTTTTAACTTTTAAAGATTTGATTTCTTTTTAGAGAGGGGGGGAAAGGAGGGAGAAAGTGAGAAACAGCCTCTCTCATGCCCCCAAGTAGAGACCTGGCCTGCAGCTCAGGCATGTGCCCTGACTGGGATTCAAACCTGCAACCTTTTGATCTGTAGGCTAGTGCTTAGTCCATTGAGCTGCACCAGTCAGGGCTCAAATGATTTTTAGATTTTATTTATTTATTTTTAGAGAGGGGAGGGAGAGAGAGAAACATCAATGTGCGGTTGCTGGGGGTTATGGCCTGCAACCCAGGAATGTACCCTGGCTGGGAATCGAACCTGGGACACTTTGGTTCCCAGTCCACGCTCAGTCCACTGAGCTATGCCAGCCAGGGCTTCAAATGATTTTTTAAAAATTGTTTTTTCATAACTCAAAAGTTTTGACTCTGAAACAACACCCTTTCTAATTGATCTTGCACATGCGTAAGTGCTAAACTTTCAATGATTGTAGCTAACAAGTCTCAATTTCCTCTCGAGATTTTAGTGATATAATTTTGAATTAATGAATATGTTATGGGTAGAGAAACAATTACAAATAATAATTGACTAGATGTTTTGGTCAGGTTTCATTTATAGAGAAAAAAATTGGTTTTAAGCAAAAAATTATTTGTTTCAGGCTGTTGAATAGTTTATAGACTAAGAGGGCCAAAGAAACAGATGCCAGACTATGCTTTGAAAAACAACTGAGAACTGGACTGCCAGTGGAGCTGCTGCTTTTATCATGATCAGGAAGTCAATTTCTGTGTTGTCTGGCATTCCAGTGGATATTTTGGTTCCTAACTATTATCTTAGGAACATTTCCCTTTTCTTGACCTAGATTCTAAAGGAGTCAAGGATGAGCTGTGTAGTGGCTAGTTGTCTCCTTCATTCATATTTTAGTGATTTTGCTAACAATTTTTATATTGGGCCAGTCAGTTGCTCTCCTAACTGTCAAACTTCTTGCCAGAATTACCTATGAAACTTAAAAGAGGCTGAAGCCCTACTCCAGAATTAAATCAGAATGTATATATATATTTTGTGAATTCCACAGATAATTATGATGCACAGCCTTGGTTAAACATAGGTCTAGATGATCTTTAGGATCTGAGTGCTATGAATCTGCTTTTCCTAATCCAGACAAGAGACTTTATATCAGCTTTAAACTATTTTTGTCATTTATAAGATGAGCATTGAGTATGGGCTGTGATTGTTATGGCATCAGAACTATTTTTTGTATGCAGACCAGCTAGCATACCTGCATACATGTTGTTCCTCCTTCCCAATTTACCTGTCTTTGCTTTGTAAAACAAATGTCAGAAACTCAGAGCATTTTGTGAAAATATTGCATGTAAAGTAGTGAAAAATGCCATTTTTATATACAATTTTTATATCCTAGGACTTTGCATGAAGTTATTAATTCTGAACCTTAGAACTAGAATTTATCATGTAAATTAGATTTGTCTTTTGGCCAGGTTCCTCCTGGATGAAGAAGGACCAGCCCACCTTTACTCTCCGACAAGTTGGAATAATATGTGAACGTCTCTTAAAAGACTATGAAGATAAAATTCGGGAGGAGTATGAGCAAATCCTCAATACCAAACTAGCAGGTAGGCTGAGGTAGTGGCAAAGGATTAACCCCAGTTAAATAAATGGTAATTTAGGAGTAGGGCATCATGCAAGAAGGTTTAATGAGTTGTGAGTGTTACTTCCTTTGGTGATGGTAAACATTTATATATTATATGGAAGGACTTTTCATTTACATTTCTGGAACAAGATAAACCAAGCTTTCGTCTGAGAATTTCCCATATGAACAAAGGCATTTTGAGTAGGCTGTTTGGGACAGGCAGCCTGTAAACAGGTGGTTGAGATAGTGCTAACCATCAGCAGATGGTTGGGGGGTTTCGTACTATTGTCAGCATAGTCAGACTTCTTGGTGGGAGTCGGTGTGTGTGGGAAATCATCCTGTGACTTGGAGGTACATTAAAATTTAGAAAGCACAGCTCAGGCAAGAACAAAGGGAGTGATTAATGGTGGCAAGTTAAAGCCTTTTGTGAAAGGAAGTGATCTGAATCAGAAGTAGAAAGTGCCTGTTTAGTGAAAGAGGATGATACTGTGATCAGAGTGGTTTTAGGCCACAACTTCCAGTAACAGTACTATTTCCTAATTTGGTGACCTACACCATGTGGTGCCTCAGAATGTTAATAGTTTTGCTTTAAATTGAAAACTGTTGGGTTAGCAACAAAATTCAATGGATTTCTTTACATCTAATAATGTCGATTATAAGAAGAAAGTCTATCATTTCCCTCTCCTAATACCACCCCAAAATTGTTCAGATCAGCTATCTGTAAGTCACTTCTGTGTTCACGGACGTCAGATTATCTTCTTTCAGCTGAGTTTCCCTTTAAAAGGTACTTCTGTGGAACAGTCTACAATTAGGTAGTATGGAATTTTCTCCTAGCTTTCTAGCCATCCCACCTTTTTCACTCAGTATGTCTGTTGAAGTTTATAGCAAGGATTGAATGCAGTGAAGAGCCTCAAGCTCCGTGTGCTATAGGAGATACCCAAATATTTGCTGGCTTGTAGTAGTGACCATATCTGTCTGTTCGGGGAAGCCATTAGTAGAGGATGGAGTTATAGCTTGGGCAAGATTGCTAAGGAAAATGTTATATTACAGGTGATCAGTGATCAAATCTAGGAGCCAGGGATTTGGCTCTGGGATCTAAGAGGCAGTAAGTAATCTCAGAGTGACTGTTAGTTATAAGGAGGATCTGAGTGGGTAATTTAAACTGGAAAGTTAGGTGTGACACTTCATTCTTGAAAAACTGGGGGAGAGTTTCCAGTGATAGTATATACTGTCTTTCCCTTCACAGAACAATATGAATCTTTTGTGAAATTCACACATGATCAGATTATGCGACGATACGGGACAAGGCCCACAAGCTGTAAGTATTGCCAAGTTTTCTTTGAATTTCCCAGTTTCAAAGAGCAAAATTTTGAAACTGAGTACCTTGTCTCCTGAGAGCAAAAAGCCCTTGTGAAGTAAATTAATAGCATTTATTTAAAGTACTTACATGCCCAGCACTGTGCTAAGCCCTTTTAATTCTTTGAAGTTGATTTTATTCAAAAGAGAACCCTATGAGGGAAGAACTCTTGTTAGCCCCATTATACTAGTAAAGATAGTACTTAAAGAAGTTAATAATTTGTCCAAGCTAATGTAGGTAGTGGTTCAGCCAGTATTGGAATGTTGTAGTGTCAATTTGTTTTATTACCTAGCTTTTTACCCTGGAAAGGTAGTTTAAGTTGTTTATGAAAGTTGATTCCTTAGGCCAACTTATCAAGAGTATGGTTGGAATTTCTTAATACTAAACATCTTACAACTACCAGTTACTCAAATCATAAATTGTAATCGTATCTCTCTAAACTGAACCAAATCAGGTTTCTTAAATTCTTGAGAATTTAGGACCTTTTAAGTGGTGACTTCTGTCCTTCATGCAGTTTATCACATTTACTGTTAGTTGTTACTTTAAAAAACACAACACTATATTTTTGTATTCTTACACTCTTGTTTTTTATCCCTAATTTATAGATGTGTCCTGAAGCTTTCTTGCATATCTGGGTACCAGGTTTGACCTCAAGAGATGGCTGCTGTGCACTTTTTGCAACTGGTTTGATATCACATTTCAGCTCCAACTTCGCATCCTGAGAACACTTAAAAAGTTTCTGCAGGTCCATTTTATACAACTTGAAAGACCTTAAAACTTTCTGGTTGCCACAAGCATATATTTCTTTTCTGCTCATCCAATAAACAGCTGTGCCCTACTGTGATAGATTTTCCAAACAAAATATCTGAAGCAGCAGTTTAGCAAAATATGCCCTCAGTGGCACTCAACAAATGGAGTTTCCCCAAGCACAGTTCTGTAAGAAGTGTGTGTGAGAGTGTGTGTATATGTGTGTATGTGTATTTTAAGTTATTATTTGTATTGTGCAAATTTCTTTGATCTTGGGGATTCTGGCTGTGAATTTGATGCACGACAATTATGGTTAAAAACATTTGGTTGATCTACAGAAGATCATCAATGTTTTGTAACCATATAAGTTGTAACAGTGGGTTGTTTTATGTGTAGGTATTACTGTTAAATACAGGGACTGTTTCCAGGCACAGAATATGAATCATACATTAGGCTGGACATTAGATGTGATTATGATGACATAGCAAAGGTCTGTGGCCCTAGGTCAATAAATACATGGTGAGGAATTAGAATGAACTGGAGACAGGCCATCTGATACATGGACTCTGCCTAGCCGTGTCAGATACTTTGACTCCAAGCCTTAAAATACCCACGTGGAGTCTGTGCTCACCTCATTCACCCGAAGAGCTCCCTGGACACTGAACCTCTGGAAATAAGTCTCTCCTGGAGCAGCAGGAGCATCATCAGGGTTTGCTTGAGAGCATAGAACAGGTGAGCTCAGGGCTGGGCCAGACCCTGTTGGCACTGCTACTTGGGAGGAGCCACTTCACCTTTGTGTCAGTTACTACCGATAGATTTGAATCCTTTGGTCAGGTTCTCCCAAATTCTTTTAAGAGGTGTCCATGTTCAACTGCTTGAGCTTTGTTTTGGCAACCCCTTGCCTGAAGTTGCTTACAGACTGTTCTTCACCTTGATTCCAAGGCTGAGGAACAGAAAGTAGCCTCTGTTTTGAGGAGGTGGAAGTTAAGTATACATTTATTTTTTACTGTGACTTGTTCAGGACCACATTTTACAAAATGCCTTGTTTCATTTATTATTGTTTTTGGAAAGAAAAGTTCTATTAAAATTGTTTTAGTTTGAATATAGAGTAGTTTTTTTAATTACAGCTTATTTTGAAAAATTCTGAGTGTAATTCAAATGTATGCCAACACCTTCCAAAGTAAGGTAATATTCAGAGACAGTTCTGATCAGATGGCTTAGAGAAATTTCTGGAGTATTCACATTGGAAGTTTCCTTATTAATGAATGTCTTTGACTTAAATCTAACCAAAAACTGCGACGTTCTTCTTTGTACATTTTCATTATATAGTGTTAACAAGCTTAGTTGCAAACGAATAAAATACTTAAGCTATTTGTTTACCTTGCCTTCTTAATATTGTCATAATGTTTATTAAAATAATTTATGTGAGGCTGCTATAGCCATTTTCTCACTTCAACCTTACATTTAAGAGTTACATATTTATTTATTTATTTTTAAAGATTTTATTTATTTATTTTTAGAGAGAGTGGTAAGGGAGGGAGGAAGAGAGGGAAACCTTGATCGGTTGCTTCTCACATGTCCCTAACAGGGTACCTGGCCCGTAACCCACACAAGTGACCTACTGGGAATCAAACCAGCAACCTTTTGACACCCAACACACTGGGCCACACCAGTCAGGGCTATAGTTTTTTTTTTGTTTTTTTGTTTTTTTTAAGCCCAACAGTGATCTTTTGATAAAGAATTCTTTTACTTCATATTTGAAGGGCAATTTTTTTCATTTCTTTTTCCAGAGTAGTGACTTGTTCCTGGACGAGGAACACAGCAGTGACAGTAATGGGAGTGGCCTTATAGTGTGGGATAGTCACACCAAAACATAGGAAGGGCAACCAACTGTGGGGGCCATCAGAAATTCTGAAGGATGGACCAGGAATAGGGAATGCTGCCTCACTGAAGTCTTGTTACAGAATCCATGTGATGTGCTCATTCAGTATTGCAAGTGTCAGCCCCATCCCTACTAAATAGCTTCTGGCTGGGAAGTGGAATAAGTTTCTATAAGAAAAATGACAGACTGCTGTGTTATGATGCGGAGCCACAGGTTAAGACCACACCACCAAATCTGGGTTTGAGGATCTCCTTCAGAGGGACTAGACATGTTTGTTTAGTGTTTTATCCAGAGAAAAGACATCCTAGGACAGGAAATGGGGAGGTACCGTAAGGTAGGCCTTAGACTGGCAAAAGGAGTTTTTCCCTAGACTTTGATTTCTAGAGTGTTAACTTAGGGGCATTCCCAGATAGAGAACTATCTTTGTCCCATGAGGATAGGGGAAGGCCCAGGGAAGAGACCTATAAGAAAAAGCCGGGACCTGTGGTCTCAGAACAGCCATATTATGAGTTAAGTTTTTTTTTGGTGTGTTTTTATTTGCCATCCTCTTAAAAGTCTTAAGCTTAAGGGCAGTGAAAGGAGTTAGTGTCCCTGTTTAGGTTAGAGGGCTACAGTGAAGGTCAAAGTGCTAAAGCAGTGATAATTGTTAAGAGCTTCCCAAGGAGAAGAGTATCAGGGGATATCAGACTCTGGGCCAGCCTCCACATGTGGCGAATCTGCCCACCAGGGAGGATTGGTGGGCTAGTGTAGTTAAAGTCATGGCCTTTGAGTGTTTGTAGCCCTCGAGTTCAAGTCTGCTCTGCTACTAATTTACTATGTGAGCTTTACCAAGTTACTGGACTTTCTGAGCCATAGTTTCCTTATCTGTAAAACAAGGGTTGATTGTGTGTACATCATTGGGTTTTGTTTTCAAATGCAACATTAAATGGAAGTAGTCATATCGAGAAAGTAGTTAGCACAGCTTGGGACAGAATATGCACTGGAAATGTTATACTAGGTTTTCTTTACAGTGGTCTTCATTGGCTCTGAAGACTAAAATCTTCCTTTCTGCAGCAGTGACTCTCAACTTTCTAGTGTGAAGCGCCCCTAGTTAACATCAAAATTTCACATTCTCTTACTAGAATTTGTACTTTTAAATGTTTGAGAAAACAATAAAAGATGAATGACAAATGAATTCAGTGAATCTGTATTTTGGTATTCTCTAAATTAGGGATCAGCAAACTTTGGCCTGATTTCGTAAATAAAGTTTTATTTGAACACTGCCACAAAAGGTATTTACATCTGGCTGCTTTGACACTGCCCCTCAGAAATAGTATGAGCCACAGAGTTGAAAGTATAGTCAAACCTCGGTTCTTGAACGCTTGGTTCTTGACCAAGTTGTTAATGGAAAAAATGTCTACATTGTTTAAGAAAACTTTGGGTCTTGATTCTTTACCTGACAGCCTGTTCATGCTCATACCTATATGATCAGTCATGCGCTCTCTAGCAACAAAAGATTTGGTTTTTGAACAATTGCTTCTTGAACAGTTTTCTGGAACAAATTAAGTTCGAGAACTGAGGTTCCACTGTGTATGCTTCTCTGGCCCTTTACAGAAAAGTCTGAGCCCCTGCACTGTAGCACTGACATGTGTTTGAAAAAGCCCACAAGTCAAACCATGCATCGTGGACATGCCCTAATTTATCATTCCTAGGGGAGGCACACCTCAGGTTGAAGTGTGGTTGAAAAAAATCTCTGCTTATAAATGAAAACTGACTGATTGCCAAAGTGAGTTACAAAAAAAACCTAATGCACTTTTTTAGAGCAATGATTCTCAAGGACCTGGAGGCCAAGGAGCATACTATGGGGGTGGGGGGTAGGATGACTCTTCTATCTTCGGCATATTTAATTTTTAAATTCTAGATACAAAAATAGGTTATGAGAATTTTATGTTAATCAGAACATTGCATGGGTTTAAAGGTAGTTAAATTTTTTTTTAAGAGCAGTGATTTCTCTGCTGCTGTGGTGATTTGAAAACCGCTCAGAGAGGGCTTTCATCTATAGCTACAGTTACACTGGATGTTGAATAAGGTTGATAACCTTCAGGAGCAAAGGAACAAGTTTGCTGAGGGAAAGAGTTCCAGCCAACCACCCTGAACCACACTTTCAAATAAATAATTAGCACTTCATTGGAGGGAGGATATGGTAACTTTGTCTAAAATTTCAATTCCTGAAGTCTTCATGGGTCCCTTGTTTTTACTGACTTTTGTTCATAGTGTGCAGGTTATCTGAGCTGGGCAGTATATGAAAAGTTATTTGTAGATATAAACAGGACAAGGATGAGGGAGGCATCTACTGCAAGGAAGCATTTCTTGTTTCCTGTGTCTGGGAGCTATTCCTCAACCTCCTTAATTCAGATGGAAGGCTGAAGGTTCCCTGGATCAACCAGATGGCACTCATCCAGATATTGAGTCCATGTGACGACGGTTTGCTTTTGTTTCACCATGTCTTGAAAGTGTAGTACTTTTGAAATTCCAGCTAAAGGTGTCTGGTCAGATTTCCCACTTTTGGCTGCCCTTAGGTTTTGATTTTTGCCCCCTTCAGTCTGTGAAGCTTCTGAAAGCGCAGCGCAGATTTCTTACCAGATTGTTAAATGCCTTAAAGGAAAGAGCAGCTTTGACTTCTAGGTTCTCTGGGTTCTCAGTACATTTTAGCTCAGTAATTTCTCAATACCTACTTAGCTTTTTTATGCTTATAAGGAAATTATATTTCAACTGCTTTGTAGCATTAAGTTGATCAAAATTTCCTGATGCTCAATTTCTGGACATGGAGTTTTCTATGTCCTTCGCTTATTGGAGCTTTGGTTGGTGAAGGCTGTTAACCTAGTTACCCAACATGCCTTTGTGTTAATGGGAGGGAAGCTGGGAAAAGACATGTTAATGTAGACTTGGAGTGATTTTCAGTCATTTAGCAAGCATCACTGGTATCTTCTGAATTCTTTATTTGTGGAGGTCAAGTATCTGAGTTTTAAAAGCCTGACAGCTTTTGTAAGTAACCTTTGTCTATGTTTCATATCCTTCGTACCTGTTATGGAATCAACATAAATATTTAGTTCAGTTGGATTTTGACCCCTGAGAAGCAAGCTCAGTTTAGTAAAGTATTGGGTTAGCCAAAAAGTCCATATGTTTTTTTCCATAAAATAAAAGACACATTTTTCATTTTCACTAGTTAACTTTATTGATTTGGATATTTTGAGTATGTAGGCTCTCTCCCACGTGGTATAATGTTGATCCCAATGTCTCAATTTGATCGCTATCAACTTCAGCTGGTCTACCCAACCATGAGGTATCACCCAGTGAGAAATCCCCAGCATGATACTTCACAAACCACTTTTGATATGCTCAATCAGTCACAACACCTTCTCCACACATAACACAAATCTTTTTTTGTGTTTCAACTGTTTTACCTTTTTTGAAATAGGAAAGCATAATATGCTGAAAATGTTCCTTATTTTCTTCCATCTTCAGTATTAGAATGGCTACACAAAAATTCACCAACTTTGATAAGTTTTAAAGATTTTGTTTATTTTTAGAGAGAGGGGAAGAGAGAGAGAAACATCAATGTGTGGTTGCCTCGTGCTCCCTGCAATGGGGACCTGGCCCACAACCCAAACGTGTGCCCTGACTGGGAATTGAACCAGTGACACTTGGGTTCGCAGGCTGGCACTCAATCCACCAAGCCACACCAGCCAGGGCAAGATGAGGGTTTTTTGTTTGTTTTTAATGTATGCTGATATGACAGCTGTCAAAATACAGTCTAACCAAATCGTTTCAAATGAAGTTAAAGACAACTAAACACTATTACAGCCATCTTACAGGAAAAAAAAATGAACTTTTTGGCCAACCCAGTATATAAGCAGACAAGATAAAAGTTGCTAGATGTTGCATGAGTGGTATAGGTAGTGGACTAAGGGAAAGAGATGGTTCTAAGTAGGCTTCACTTGGGGAGGTAGAGTTCAAGGAAGGTTTCAAAGAATGAATAGGGCTCAGGCAAAAGCAGGAATTGGAATTTGAAGTGAGCAAAGGCTAGGTGATGGGAAATCATGGTGTGCAGGGACATCTTTTTGAGCCAGAGTAGAAAACTCATGTAGATCCTAGGAAGAGAGCTTAAAGTTAGGTAATAAGGGGTAGATAATGAAGGGCATTGACTACTATGAATTTGGTCCTTACTCTGTGGGACTCTGAAAAGTCTGGGGGAAACTAATTCAGGGGTAAGTACAGAACAGAAGAGCAAATAAACTGGAGACAGGTTGACCAGTTAGCCTCTTTGTCCAGTCAGATTATCAAAGCCTATACATGGCTTGGGAAGGATGATTAAATATGGCTCTGGTTTTGCCTGTCTTAAGAAGACCATGGCCCTTGAAGAATCTATTCTTACCTTTCCTCTTCCCATAGGCACACTTTCAGAGATCCTTCTTCTTTTGGCTTGTTTTGCCCCTCAATCCAGCTTAATTCTACAGC